TCCATCTGCAAGCAACTATACCGGCCTGAATTATATCAACGTGCTATTCGAGCAGATCTCTTAGTCTTAATTGTTTAGATTTTTAGAAGGCACATTAACTTCTTTCTCATTTACAACTCTGTGTTTGCTGCGTAAAAACATGAGTTGATATTTGCATTGATCTGACCATAAACAGCAAGAAAGGCTTGTTGGAAATGCAAATTCATTCTCTGCCACGAGGTGGCGCTTTAGGAGCGCTGAAATATTGCGGTTTCCCCGGTAACGGCTGTACACAAAGCCCCTCTGCGCTCATAAACGCTGCTTTATCAGGAATTATAGATCAAATGAAATTAAAATGCCAAAGACACTTTTCTGAGGACAGTCGGTTGCCTTCAGATACATTCAAATAAAGACATCCGAGCCGCGTTTTGACTTGAAATGTGCAGCGCTCATATTTATTTAATGACATCACTGCTTTTTAAGTTTAATCCAGCCATATCGCGACTCTTGTCTTTCCGTCCCCAACTGTAAGACCTCTTGAAATTATAATTAAGACATTTCTTATACCATTTAACTATTTAAAACTTTTTATGGCCTCAAGTTTGATACAACTCACTTTAGGAGTTTTTAAGGACCCGCGGGAGATCTGTATTTAAGATAGCCCGTCGGGCAGAGTGGTGATACATTTTGGTAGCCCGACTGGAAAACACAATAGCCCCGGGACGTCGGGCTAGCGATTTTGCGAGACCTGCATTACTGACCCCTGGGGGGTCCCGTAGACTAACGTTACCACTTACGCTAAAAACGTCTGTTGGTTTGTAGTGCTGTCATCAGCCATGTCTAAAAGCTGAAGACCCATGCCACTAAAAACTGTTTTATTATTATTATGTTTTCAAATTGCAACAGGTCTATATATAGTAGCAGGCTAATGACAGACTGCCAGCTGTGCTAACTGAGCAGCCCACTGTTTCACTAATAACGTTAATTTGAACGCATACGCTGCCATTTTGACACAAGATCCCATGTAACGTGATGCAGAAACACTGGAATTAAAATAATACCGTTAACACCGCGTAATCTCTTTACAAAAAAGATTGTTGCCCTACCTGTTTGAAGATGTACGCGCATCAGGTGAACTACGCGAACTGAGCCTCGCTGGTAACGTCATTGCAGTTCTTCTTCTTTCCAGTTTAACAGCGGTTGGCATCCATCTTATTGGTGCATTACCTCCCCCTTCTGCTCCGGAGTTTCTTCTTCTTCTTCTTGGCTTTTAACGGCGGCTGGCAACCAGCGTAATTAGGTGCATTACCGCCACCTTCTGCTCCGGAGTGTGGAACAGAGAGTTACGTCTACTTATTAATCCGGTCCTTTTAAGTAAATTCAAAAAGCTTTACTATTTATTGCCCATTTTATTAAAGATTTAAAATGTACCACCTGAATTCCATTCTTCTTGATTTCAACTATCATATTACTTCTTTCTTCCTCATATTCCTTACATTCAAGAATTACATGGGTTACTGTTTCTTCTACTTTGCATTGTTCACATAGTCCATTTGGATGTTTCCCTAATATTTTGAGTGTACTATTCTGATTGGATATTCTATTATAGACAACCTCTTCTTTCCTTGTTTTACCAATATGTCTTATTTTTTTACTTACTTTGTTAATTAAATTGTAGAGAAATCTACCCTTTTCTTTGTTGTCCCACTTTATTTGCCATTCTGCAATAACCTTTCTCCAGATTAAAACCTTAATTTCAGACTTGCTTAGAGGAACTTGTCATTCTATTTCTTCTCTCTGCAAAGCTTGTTTTGCTAACTTATCTACGTCCTCATTACCCTTTACACCTACGTGTGATGGAACCCAAATAAAACTGATTAAAATATAATTCTGAACCAATCTTGAATATATCTGTAAAATACTAAAAATAATAATGGTTCATTTTCAGGAATCACCACTGTTGGGCTCATCTTAAACCTATTTACCTCCATTTCTTCTACATACACTTCACTACTCCATCCAAAACTTTTTCTACTCAACTTATTTTGTTCCCAACACTTCATTAAAACCATTTTTGTAGGATGATCATCTTTATGACCCTTGAGGTTAGCCCAGTAATTGATCATTAATTGTTTCCTTCTCATTTCCAGTGGAATCTCCCCTAACAGGACTTGTAAAGAAGGAATGGGTGTCGTTTTTACAGCTCCACAACACTGTCTCAAAGCTTGGGCTTGTATTTTATCCAGTTTTTCCAACAGGGTTTTTGAAGCCGAACCATATACCACACTGCCATAATCAAACACAGATCTGATCAGTGCCACATAAATAGTTTTTAATGATGAAAAACTTGCCCCCCATGCCACTCCACTTACACATCTCATGATATTTAATACCTTCTGACATTTTTCAATCACTTTGTTTATATGATCCACCCATGTAAGTTTTGTATCAAAATAAATACCTAAACATTTCAAAACACTAACTCTCTCTAAGGACCTCTCGTACATCTTCAAGTTTATTTCTGGTATAATCCTTTTCCTAGAGAAAATTATAGTCTTAGTCTTTTCTACTGAAAATTTAAATCCCCAATCACCTGCCCATTCTTCTACCCGTCGAATTGCTTCTTGCATCCTTCCATTAATATACAAAATATTCCTTCCCCTTTTCCATAGAGCTCCATCATCAGCGAAAAGAGATCGACCTACATCTTGCTGTACTTGATTAAATACATCATTAATCATTATGGAAAAAATTAATGGACTTATAACACTCCCTTGTGGAGTTCCATTTTCTATCTCACATCTGTTTGACAATTCATTTCCAATTCTCACCTGTATACTTCTGTACGCCATAAAATCTTTAATCCAATTGTAAATTCTTCCATCTATATTCATCATTTTCAGTTTTATCAAAAGTCCCTCCCTCCACATCATATCATATGCTTTCTCAACATCGAAAAATACTGCAATTATTGATTCTTTATTTACCTGAGCTTTTCTAATTTAATTTTCCAAACATACAACAGGGTCCATTGTTCCTCTTCCTTTTCTAAAACCACTTTGATATTTAGTTAATATTCCTCTCTTTTCCAATAAATATGTCAAACGGTCTGTAACCATCCTTTCCATTAATTTACATATATTCGAAGTAAGAGCTATTGGCCTATAATTAGATGGTTTAGAAGGATCTTTGCCAGGCTTTCTTATTGGAATTATTATAGCTTCTTTCCAAGCATTTGGTAATCTTCCTTCCTCCCATACTCTATTATACAAATCTAAAAATTTGCCCATAGCCCCATCTTTAAGATGTTTCAACATTATATTTGTGATCTGATCTTTTCCTGGAGACGACAGTGTATTATTTAAATTACTAATTGCCCTTTTCAGTTCATCTAGAGTAAACAGGAGGTTAACTGACTGATCTTCTATTCCCCCATTATTTCCTAGATCTTCTAGATGTTGTCTCTTTGTTATTTCCCTCCTCCTCCTTCCTTCTTCACTCAAATTCCCTGACCCATGGATCTGTACAAATGTTTTTACCAGCATTTCTGCTTTGTCCTTGTCTGTTACCGCAATTTCCCTTTCTGTTTCTAATACTGGATATACCCACTCTCTTTTATTGCCTCCCATTCTTTTTATCATACTCCACACGTCACCCACTGGCGTTGTTCTCCCAATCTCACTACAAAAGCTTTGCCAGATATCTCTTTTAGCTTGCCTTATAGTTCGTCTTACCACTGCTTGAGCTTTCTTGTATAATATAAAATTATTATAATTATGCGTTCTCTTTAGAAGTTTAAAAGCCTTATTTCTAGCTCTCACAGCTTTACCACACTCATCTGTCCACCATGGGACCGCTTTCCTTGTCATTTTTCCTTTACTTTTTGGGATTGTTTCCGACGCTGCTTCAATCAGTATGGCACAAATGTTATCATTTAAGTTGTTAATTTCTTGCTTTGAGTCAATTACTTCTAACCTTTCCTCACAAATTTCTTCAAATTTAGCCCAGTTTGCTTTTTCAAATACCCATCTTTCTTTTCCTTGTGCTGATGATCTCTCCATCTCTATATCCAAAGTTGTAAATATTGGATAGTGATCACTCCCAATGTTAGATTCCTCCCAAACCTCCCAATTACACTTACTAGCTAAATTATTAGAAACCAATGTCAAATCCAACACAGACTCCATCCCTGTTCGAGAATCTATCCTTGTCCCCCTGCCATCATTCAAACAAACCAGCTCTCTTTCCTCTATTAAATCCTCTACCACTTGTCCGTTAGCATTTATACTTTTCCCTCCCCATAATGTATTGTGTGCATTTAAATCCCCACACCATATTACTCTACCACTATCTTGGCCATGCACTTCCTTCAACTTATCTAAAGCCAGGTTTTTACATGGATTATAATAGTTTATAATAACTATTTCCTGTCCTCTCCCCCATAACCCCACAGAAATATATTCTTGGTCTTTCCCTTTTCCCAGCACCCTATATTGTATTCCTTGTTTAATAAATGTTGCACACCCTCCACCATTCCCTTCTTCCCTATCATGACGTACTACATTATATCCCTGTAAAACATAATCCAAACGACATTTCAACCAAGTTTCCTGAACACAAATTACATCCGGTTTTATATAACATTCCTCAATAAAATGCTTGAACTCCTGACCATTTGCTATCAGGGATCTAGCATTCCACTGAAAAACCTTCATAGATATGTATTACCCATTTGTATCCTGACTTGACCTTATCTGAAGTTCATCCCTAACTTCTTCCCAGGTCAAGTCCACCAATCCAAGATGACGTATTGCTGCTATTACAACTACCTGTATTTTTTGAGTTTTTGATTCAATCCCTGCTGTACTATTAATAACTCCAGCAATAAATGTCACCAATTTTTTCTTTTCAACTATCATATAATCTTCTGAAACGTCTTTGTTTCCTCTAACTGTATCCCCTGTCTGAACACTTTGCTTCTTCTTCTTCTTCTTGGCTTTTAACGGCGGCTGGCAACCAGCGTAATTAGGTGCATTACCGCCACCTTCTGCTCCGGAGTGTGGAACAGAGAGTTACATTCTACTTATTAATCCCGTCCTTTTAAGAAAATGAAAGAAAGCTTTACTATTTATTTCACTTGCCCATTTTATTAAAGATTTAAAATGTACCACCTGAATTCCATTCTTCTTGATTTCAACTATCATATTACTTCTTTCTTCCTCATATTCCTTACATTCAAGAATTACATGGGTTACTGTTTCTTCTACTTTGCATTGTTCACATAGTCCATTTGGATGTTTCCCTAATATTTTGAGTGTACTATTAAGATTGGAATGTCCCAACAATATTCTATTATAAACAACCTCTTCTTTCCTTGTTTTACCAATATGTCTTATTTTTTGACTTACTTTGTTAATTAAATTGTAGAAAAATCTACCCTTTTCGTTATTGTCCCACTTTATTTGCCATTCTGCAATAACCTTTTTCCAGATTAAAACCTTAATTTCAGACTTGCTTAGAGGAACTTGTAATTCTATTTCTTCTCTCTGCAAAGCTTGTTTTGCTAACTTATCTACGTCCTCATTTCCCTTTACACCTACGTGTGATGGAACCCAAATAAAACTGATTAAAATATCATTCTGAACCAATCTTGAATATATCTGTAAAATACTAAAAAGAATATCTTGATGACTGGATTTAAAAGACCTTAGACTTTTTAAAACTGAGAGTGAATCAGAACAAATTAAAACCTTTCCAGGTTTATAATCCTCTACCCACTGCAAGGACAAGAGTATTGCTATCATTTCAACAGTATATACTGCCAGATGATTGGATGTTCGCTTTGTACTACTCATTGCCCAGTCAGGAACTAAAAAAGCAGCTCCAGTTGTCTCTCGCTCTGGATCTTTTGAGCCATCTGTAAATATTTGTAAGTATTGAGGATATTGTGTTCTAAAATGTTCAGAGAATGCTGAAGACATGTCTACTTCTCTTTCTGCTTTTTTAATTTCCAACAAATGTAAATCTATATGGGGAGTTATATAATTCCATGGTTCATTTTCAGGAATCACAACTGTTGGGCTCATCTTAAACCGATTTACCTCCATTTCTTCTACATATGCTTCACTACTCCATCCAAAACTTTTTCTACTCAACTTATTTTGTTCCCAACACTTCATTAAAACCATTTTTGTAGGATGATCATCTTTATGACCCTTGAGGTTAGCCCAGTAATTGATCATTAATTGTTTCCTTCTCATTTCCAGTGGAATCTCCCCTAACAGGACTTGTAAAGAAGGAATGGGTGTCGTTTTTACAGCTCCACAACACTGTCTCAAAGCTTGGGCTTGTATTTTATCCAGTTTTTCCAACAGGGTTTTTGAAGCCGAACCATATACCACACTGCCATAATCAAACACAGATCTGATCAGTGCCACATAAATAGTTTTTAATGACAAAAAACTTGCCCCCCATGCCACTCCACTTACACATCTCATGATGTTTAATACCTTCTGACATTTTTCAATAACTTTGTTTATATGATCCACCCATGTAAGTTTTGAATCAAAATAAATACCTAAAAATTTAAAAACTCTAACTCTCTCTAAGGACCTCCCGTACATCTTCAAGTCTATTTCTGGTATAATCCTTTTCCTAGAGAAAATTATAGTCTTAGTCTTTTCTACTGAAAATTTAAATCCCCAATCACATGCCCATTCTTCTACCTTTCTAATTGCTTCTTGCATCATTCCATTAATATACAAAATATTCCTTCCCCTTTTCCATAGAGCTCCATCATCAGCGAAAAGAGATCGACCTACATCTTGCTGTACTTGATTAAATACATCATTAATCATTATGGAAAAAATTAATGGACTTATAACACTCCCTTGTGGAGTTCCATTTTCTATCTCACATCTGTTTGACAATTCATTTCCAATTCTCACCTGTATACTTCTGTACGCCATAAAATCTTTAATCCAATTGTAAATTCTTCCATCTATATTCATCATTTTCAGTTTTATCAAAAGTCCCTCCCTCCACATCATATCATATGCTTTCTCAACATCGAAAAATACTGCAATTACTGATTCTTTATTTACCTGAGCTTTTCTAATTTCATTTTCCAAACATACAACAGGGTCCATTGTTCCTCTTCCTTTTCTAAAACCACTTTGATATTTAGTTAATATTCCTCTCTTTTCCAATAAATATGTCAAACGGTCTGTAACCATCCTTTCCATTAATTTACACATATTTTAAGTAAGAGCTATTGGCCTATAATTAGATGGTTTAGAAGGATATTTGCCATGCTTTCTTATTGGAATTTTTATAGCTTCTTTCCAAGCATTTGGTAATCTTCCTTCCTCCCATACTCTATTATACAAATCTAAAAATTTGCCCATAGCCCCATCTTTAAGATGTTTCAACATTATATTTGTGATCTGATCTTTTCCTGGAGACGACAGTGTATTATTTAAATTACTAATTGCCCTTTTCAGTTCATCTAGAGTAAACAGGAGGTTAACTGACTGATCTTCTATTCCCCCATTATTTCCTAGATCTTCTAGATGTTGTCTCTTTGTTATATCCCTCCTCCTCCTTCCTTTCCTCAAGTTTCCTGACCCATGAATCTGTACAAATGTTTTTACCAACATTTCTGCTTTGTCCTTGTCTGTTACCGCAATTTCCCTTTCTGTTTCTAATACTGGATATACCCACTCTCTTTTATTGCCTCCCATTCTTTTTATCATACTCCACACGTCACCCACTGGCGTTGTTCTCCCAATCTCACTACAAAAGCTTTGCCAGATATCTCTTTTAGCTTGCCTTATAGTTCGTCTTACCACTGCTTGAGCTTTCTTGTATAATATAAAATTATTATAATTATGCGTTCTCTTTAGAAGTTTAAAAGCCTTATTTCTAGCTCTCACAGCTTTACCACACTCATCTGTCCACCATGGGACCGCTTTCCTTGTCATTTTTCCTTTACTTTTTGGGATTGTTTCAGACGCTGCTTCAATCAGTATGGCACAAATGTTATCATTTAAGTTGTTAATTTCTTGCTTTGAGTCAATTACTTCTAACCTTTCCTCACAAATTTCTTCAAATTTAGCCCAGTTTGCTTTTTCAAATACCCATCTTTCTTTTCCTTGTGCTGATGATCTCTCCATCTCTATATCCAAAGTTGTAAATATTGGATAGTGATCACTCCCAATGTTAGATTCCTCCCAAACCTCCCAATTACACTTACTAGCTAAATTATTAGAAACCAATGTCAAATCCAACACAGACTCCATCCCTGTTCGAGAATCTATCCTTGTCCCCCTGCCATCATTCAAACAAACCAGCTCTCTTTCCTCTATTAAATCCTCTACCACTTGTCCGTTAGCATTTATACTTTTCCCTCCCCATAATGTATTGTGTGCATTTAAATCCCCACACCATATTACTCTACCACTATCTTGGCCATGCACTTCCTTCAACTTATCTAAAGCCAGGTTTTTACATGGATTATAATAGTTTATAATAACTATTTCCTGTCCTCTCCCCCATAACCCCACAGAAATATATTCTTGGTCTTTCCCTTTTCCCAGCACCCTATATTGTATTCCTTGTTTAATAAATGTTGCACACCCTCCACCATTCCCTTCTTCCCTATCATGACGTACTACATTATATCCCTGTAAAACATAATCCAAACGACATTTCAACCAAGTTTCCTGAACACAAATTACATCCGGTTTTATATAACATTCCTCAATAAAATGCTTGAACTCCTGACCATTTGCTATCAGGGATCTAGCATTCCACTGAAAAACCTTCATAGATATGTATTACCCATTTGTATCCTGACTTGACCTTATCTGAAGTTCATCCCTAACTTCTTCCCAGGTCAAGTCCACCAATCCAAGATGACGTATTGCTGCTATTACAACTACCTGTATTTTTTGAGTTTTTGATTCAATCCCTGCTGTACTATTAATAACTCCAGCAATAAATGTCACCAATTTTTTCTTTTCAACTATCATATAATCTTCTGAAACGTCTTTGTTTCCTCTAACTGTATCCCCTGTCTGAACACTTTGCTTTGTATTTTGGTCTCTAACCAGTTTTGCTGCCTCAGCATAAGTTAACTTCTCCTCCACTCTCCTTTTCTGAATCACCATCTCCATCTTTAACACTTCACATCCTCTAAAGGCTGCACTGTGACCCTCACCACAATTGCAACACTTTGGTTTTACTCCCTCCTCACACTTGCCATATTCATGCTTTCCCCCGCATCGCGCACATCTACACTGTTCTCTACATCTTGTAGCAACATGCCCAAATCTTTGGCAATTAAAACATCTCATTGGTCCCGGTATAAACTCTCTTACGATATAACTCATTACCCCCAACATCACTCTTTTTGGAATTTCCTCCCCTATGAATTCTATCACTACTGTTTCAGTGTCCTTCCTAATCCCTTCAACAACTGCCTTTAGCCTATAAGCATTCACTACTTTTCCTCCCTTTAGATTACCTTTAAATTCTTCCATGCCTATGTTAAGAGGAACACCGAAAACAATCCCTTTTTGACCCCTAGCTTTACTTCTAGTTCCAACTCTGTTTGTGCTGACAACTTTAATCCCTCCTATTTCCTTTACTTTGAGAGCTTTATTTGCCTGTTCTTCATTATTACATCCAACTAGCAAATTTCCATCAGAGAGTACTTTAGCAAACCCAACATTTCCTATTTCCCTATTTATGATCTTTGTCAGTTTTAACGGATTAATTTTGCTTACCCCTAACTGCTCCCCAAATCTCACAATGCACTTAATGCTATCCCCACTCTTTTCGTCAGATTCATCAACATCACTCCTTTTCTTCCGTTTTTCTCCTCGACTATTTCTAACTTCACTCCACCGGTTCCCTAAATTTCCACCATTCTCCTCTTCACTTCCTACATCCATACTTCCTTCACTATCCCCCCACTCAAACCTCTCTGATCCATTCGCGGAGCAGTTGTGCCTCGCCGCCGATCCTTTCCGTCCACCCGCTGAGGTTTCCGCCATCTTACCTCCGCGCGTACGTTTCTCGGTTCTCGGTCCTCATGAGAGCATCTGATTTGGTTTTGTACTCACACTGCACATAGTGTGACTCATTAAATATATCTATAAACATAAAATTATTATTAATAGTGATAATAGTATTATTGCGTTTAGTTATTTTGTATTTTAATAAAATAATAAACAAAATAATCCGTGTGATAATGTTATTGTATTTAAAAATAAATTGAGTATAAAATACAGTTATTTTATAGTACACTTAAAAATACAGTGTTAAAAGTAACTTAAAAAAAAATGAATTTTCATTATTTTCAAACCTAAAATCAGCAAGCTTTTATTTTGACGGGTTGCCGGGTGAAGCGCGTCAGTGAATGAAATGTCAGTTTTGCGTTTTGCTCTGAAACCGGCAGCTTTAGGCTATTTAAGAACTATTTGAGACAATACTCAAAAACACAAAATAAAAAAGCTGGAATCGTGTTAGATTTATTTGATAAATATAATTTATTATAATGTTTTATTTTATCCCGTGTTTAATCTATATTTATTAATATAGATGGTTTAAAGAATTAATGTTTTTTGTTTATTATTATTATTCTGTGTAAGTCTAAGCCCCTCCTAAAACTGTTGTCCTTGAATGTAAGTTGTATGCCAATTTGTTCTGTAAACTTGTAATTTGTTGTTATACTTAAAAAAAAGCGCCAAATTATATTTAAAATGATAAACAACAATAAAACAACACATTACACAAAAAGCAGGTATATCAATGTAGACAAACAGTTGCCTCATTCGATCGCAGTCATGTGTGGAGTAAAATATATTTAAAATATATTTATGTTTGTTGTAAAATAAATATGTTTATTAGGCAATTAAAAGCTTTATTGAGAAATGTAAAACAGAAAGCCCAACATCAAAAATACAAAATATAACAAAAATAATATTTAATGGCTTTTCAGATATTAAAACTAATTGATGCAAATTTCCTGATGCAAATACAATCAGCAGTAAGCAGCAATAAGCAGAAAAAAGCAAATGTATTAATAAAAAGGTCATATTTAATCAATAATTACACAAAGCATGTATGGGATTGGTATCATTAAGGTTTTAATGGCATTACACTGAAAAATAACTGTTGTTGTTTTCACAGTATATAACTGCATTTTCAACAGTTCCCTGCTGTACAATTTGCATATGTTACTGTGAATTTTGTTGTTTTCACATTATTATTACTGTATTCTCAGCAGTTTCCTACTGTATACATTGTATACAGTGAACAGTATTTATATCATTTTTTACCTCTAATACACCACTATGTCCAACTGTCTTTGGGCGCACGCATGGCATCCGGTGCGTGAGGTGTGTACGCGCTCTGGCGTAGTTTACATTAATGGGTGTGTTGATATCCAGCCGAAGAGCAATCAACCATAACTTCAGGCGAGCAGGCTCAGAAGTTGGGAATATGTGGAAAGTTACCACTCCCGAATGAGTTCGTGCGAGAGAAAGTAATTTTTTTGTTTTAAGTCGGTTTGAACAATCTGGATAAGCGCAAGTAAGTACCATTTTGATTAGCCGTCGTACCTACAATGACTGTGCACTGTGCAAACAATGAGTGATGTATACGCGCGAGAGATCACTTCCGGTGCTACTACGCCCTACGCCAGAGCGCGTATAAAAACAGTTGGACATAGTGGTGTATTAGAAGTAAAAAATGAACTGTTCAGTGTTCGGTTTCTGGCACAAACCGATCGTTTCGTGTCTTAGGACATCAATGTGTTGTCAC